ATGTGAACAAATAAATTATTTTGACTTTGCCTGACACCAAATGCAGTTTCATCACTTTTGAAAATTTGAAAAGCAACTTATGGACCTTACATGGCTTTCCCCTTTGCATTTCAAAGCAAATTCATTTGACTTCTTTGCATGATGCCACCCAGGGCATTGCGTGACTTTATGAAGGGAGTTTAGAATGTTCTAGATCTGCGCAGTTTGACACTCCCAGTGCAGTGCCCTTAGCATGATCCCTGAGCACAAGTGCGCAGTGCCCCCTAGCCATGGAGAAAACACACTCATATCCGCAGGTCTTATTTGTAGCATCCTGCAGGCAAACAGAGCCTGTAGGATACACACTCCTCTCACCTTCCAGGACACACAGTGTACATCCCTTGCCTGTATGTCCTCAGGCAGACAGCACATCACCTCAAAATTCTCCAAAATTTCTGTTAATGTTATATTTACTGACATCCTGGACTTTTAATGAGCACTGAGCAGAAAGTATTAGCACACAGGGAAATGTGGGGATGCATGTTTAATAATCAGCCTTTGGTGATGTGAGACTATTTGAACAGAGTTCACTTACTTATTCATATAGCTATTATCGGACTTGTCTTGGTTATTCTCACTAGTATTAGTAATCTAAGGTCAGCATCATTCAGTCTACTGCCCTCACTGTTCATGCATACAGAAGCATGCGTGTTTACGTTGGGGGCACTTTTTTTTTGCAAAGGGATGGAGTGAGGACGAGAAAGGAGGGAATAAAGAAAGAAAGCGATAGGTCCTGCCTTTTTTCATCCTCCAAGGGCGCTGCTTTTCCAAAAGTGCCTCAGGCTACACTCCAGCACCTCTCCTCCCCGAGGCCTTTCGCCTGCCTCCTAATAGCCATCCCCCATCTGTGTCACACAGGCAGATGATGGGACGCTTCCCCTTTCCTTTTTTTCCACTTTCTCCTTCTCCCTCTCCCTTTCTCTCTCTCTTTTTTTTAGCGGAGTGCACATCCACACAGGTTAAAATGCCAGAGTTGCCAGGGAACAGTCAGAAGCCATTAGCGTTTGGGACAATTTGCCCTGCAGCGCTCCTTCTCTGGCTCATAAGAAAGGAGTGGGGGCGGATGTAAATCACCAGCTCGCCTTTAGATGTAATGAGGGTGTGCAAGTTTTCCCCTTCTTTCTTTCTTTCTTTCTTTCTTTCTTGTCTTCCATTTCTCTCTCTCTCTCTCTCTCTCTCTCTCTCTCTCTCTCTCTCTCTCTGCTTCCACACTACTAGAGTTGCATCATTTTTTTTTCATTGATTTCCACCACTTTGGCCTGCCTTCATGTCTTACCCTGCCATCTGTGTACTCATTTCACTGTGTACACTCTTAAAAATAAAGGTTCCTAAATGGGTCTTGGCTTGGATGCATGGCTTTAGGAAAACCTTTAATTGGTGTAGAACCCTTACATTATATGGAGGTTCTTTAAGGTTCTCATTTGCGAAAACAGTTCTTTAAAGGGTCATTCCAAAGATATTTCAAATTTTCTGAATAAATAAATTGTTAAGGTGTAAACAAAGTCAGTCAGAGAAGTTTGTTGTGAAATGCTCCGTTCTGGAGAAACTTACAGAGTCAGAATTGTTCACAATGATGGTGATAGGAACCAGACGTCTGAAGCATTTAGTGCCTCTAAAACCTTCCTCACAGAAAGCTGTTGCGTGAAATGGTTACAAATGCACTGTCTCAACCCTGAGACACTGTTTTACAGAAGTTTTAAGGTAAAGTTTTGGAATAATATGTATATTTTTTTAATTTGTTGATGACAGAGAGGTACTTAAAGTGCACTGTATGTCAAAAGAAAACCTTTTGCTTTTAGATTTACTACTATTTTTCCATCATCAACATTACATGTAAACACTCAGAAGAGGTGTAGATTCAGTGGTTGTTTTGGATCATATATAAAATGGCTATATTTGCGTGGTAGACATTGCAATCCCTGGTTAGCATCATTGCTGTTGTTGAGGTAAAATGCTCTATTTTAGAGAAACTTAAATTGTTCACAGTGGTGGTGATGGGAACCAGATGTCTGAAGTGTTTAATGCCACTAAAAGCTACCTCACAGAAAGTTGTTACATGAAATGGTGACAAATGTGCTGCCTAATGCCCAAAACATTGTTTAATGATAGTTTTGAAGTAAAGTAAGATTTTTAGTGATTCTTTTTTAATTTGTTCATGGCAGAGAGGTACATAGGTTGCACTGTAAGTCAAAACAGTCCCCAAATAACTTTCAGCTGACAGATTTGCTACTGGCTTACGATTTTCTATATTATAAATAAAAACATGTAGGTGACAAGTAGGTGTTTTTTTTTTTTAGTAAATAAAATGGCTATATTTGCCATATAGACATTCCGACCCCGATTCCTATCAACACTGTTCTAAAAGGAAATCTGAGCCTGTCAGATTGTTTACAATGCACCATTTCACATCAAATTACTGTAAATGACTTTGTTAATAGATCAACAACTAAATTATGCAGACATTTTGAAAAATCTATGGAATTCCTCTTTAAAAACACCCATTGAACAGTTCTTTCAAGATCCAAAAGTAGTTCTTCTGTGGCATTTCTAAAGAAACCTGTTTGTCACCTTTATTTTTTTGCACACAAACTTACAGCATTCATAGTTGTATCGATGGTGATTGTGTATAGCTGAGATTCAGGCCACTCACCGTGTACAGCGTAAAAGCACATGCTCTCAGCGTGTGTGTGTGTGAGATAGAGAGGAGCTGAAAGCCTGGGAGTCTGATTTCACCCTGCTGGGGAGGCAGGCTGAGCCTACTGGAGCGGCCAGGGCTGGAGGGTAATGAAGTGACAGGTCAGTCTGTAAATACGCACGGGTCGGTCTGGCCCCGTTGAGGGGGAGGCTATCGCATTGCAGTGAAAATGGAAACGCCAATAAAATTAATCTGCCAGCCTTTTGGCCAGGGCCACTCAGCCTGTCCACGTCTGGAGTCCACCAGAGTGGCCAACAGCAGGGGCAGCTTATGACACCACCACAACAACACAAGTTTGTACTCCGAGACCCAAAAACGACATGTGTACCTCACCCCCCCCGCAGACCTCACACACCAACACACACTTCTCCCCTCCTCCGGTGATGTTATTATTATTGAAGTGGAGAGCAAACTGGAGAATTAGCACGCCGTCTGGGTCACATTTCTCAGGAAGCCACACACGGTCAGGCAGAGGCTACAGCTCAGCTCCAGTTTATTGTTTTAGGCTTCCCTGAACAAGGGCTTTTACTTAGCCTGGGATTTATGGCATTTGCTGCTAATGAATGCCCATTCTACAATTACAGCGCTAGCCAGCCTCCGTCCACTATTCCCACGTGTGTGGGGCTGCAGCACCGACTTCTTTAACTCTGGGCGGAGAGCAGAGAGAGTTGCCACTTCTCTGTTTTCCTCTTTCGTGTGCCTTTGCACTAATGATGTAGAAAGAAAACAGCACTGGAGAGAGAGGGAGAGAGGCAAAGAGGAAAAAGAGGGAGAGAGAGAGAGAGAGAAAAAAGGATGAAAAGAGAAACAGAGAACGGGGCGTCTGCTCTGTCCTTGTATTCTTCATGTATTTTGCATTTGATTACGCCACCAGTCGGATCCTTTTTCTTTCCCCTTTTTTAATGTTATTAGTTCAAATATTTATGCGAGATTATGGCTTGTATAGGTGCGCGTGATTGATGTCTCCCCAAAAACAGGAAGACATGCAAGTCTGAATTTTCAGAATGTCGGGGTCCTGCTATGCCTTAGTGGAGGAGTTTTTCAGATACATAATTTAGATGCCCTCAAGGAAGGCTTTCAAGGCATTTTCGCCCAGGGGCAAGAAAAAATAACTATGACTGTTAAAAGTAAATCATTTTTGCTAATGCACAATTAATGGCAGAGAGGAGGAGAGAGAAAGGCGAGGGCTTGGGATTGGAACTTGGGTTTAAAGGAAGCCGGCCTGCCTTGATATGCGCATGTTTCCTGCCCAAATCAAACACTGACGGACATTAATGCAGCACGAAGCTGCCATGCCCCTGTCATGCAAATGAGCGGGCAGGAGGGGGAGGGGCCGAGGGTGAGATGGACTGCAGTCCATTATGTGTGTCCGAGTGCAACGGTGAAGCATCCTACTTATTCTACCACTACTGTACTGTGCTCCCATGAAACTACACTCCAGTTCAGTGGGTGTGTTTGGGTATTTATCTGCGTGTTGTTCTTTTATCATCTTCATCTATATTTATGGCACTCCTGCCCTCCTTAGTAATCCTGAGGGGCTGTACATTATGTCAAGTATGCAACTTTAATTGAGTTAATGATATGACCTCAGGTCCATAACTAGGTAAAGTCATCCTTCAGTACACTCATTTCCCTTTTCCTTTTTATGCTTCTTTCTTTTCTTCTATTTTGTCCCTTAGATCTGCTTATAGTATTTGTGTGGGTTTATGCATCAAAAACAGTCATAATTAATTTTTACATTAACATTTTCTAACTCCTTTTGAATTAAACAGGATGTATGTATATTACCTCAGTTTTGATTGGCTGGCCTGTCATGTCTCATTCAAAAAGTAGTCCAGAGTGAAACACTACTTATAAGTTTTGTGTCATTGGGCATAGCTAAACTGCTGTAGACTGTATAGGTAGTTATATGTAAACACATTTCATGACATCACAAAACCAATTAATTTAAAGTCTGTTTTTGCAGCTTAGTTTCCATATATGTGGACTGTATGGACCGAGGAGTGAATTGTATGTTTTGAAACAGTGTTTACATACTACATCTAACTTTTTTATTTCAGAAAAGCTAAGAACATTTTGTTTTTTGATGATATGGGTCCTTTAAGGAACTACAATAGAGGGTTGAGGATCTTTATTTTTAAATGAAAACACAGATCCAGCTCAGATTAATGAGTGAGGTTAGCTTACAGTTACTCTATGGGGTGTGAGGCTGTAGGAGATTGCTTTGATGTGTAATTAGTTTCTAAAGATTTCTCGTTTTGACCAGGAGACGGCTTAGAAAACAGCGTGGCCTCACCTGGCACAGGTGATGACGACGACCCAGACAAAGACAAAAGGCGGCAGAAAAAACGCGGCATCTTCCCCAAGGTGGCTACCAACATCATGCGAGCGTGGCTCTTCCAGCACCTCACAGTAAGTGCTCTCTCGCTTACTCTCTCTCGACATCCAGACACACATACATGCACAAACGTGTGCTCTCTTTAAATGTAATGATCCACGCTTCCATGAACACATACTAACATTAACTTACATACAAACTTAAAGCAAACGCTCAAACAAAGGCATCTGCACACTCAGCTAAGCACATACTAACAGAAAATAACAGCACTGCAGACACACAAGAGGAATGCTACATCAGATTGGCATTTGATGGACACGTGTCAGTTACCCTGTTGAAATGATCAGAGTCAACACAATCAGCCAAGTATGGACTTCAAACAATAGCACCAATACACGTGACCCGGGCTTGCTCAATACTCTCCAGGTTGCCTCCTCTCTCTCTTCACCTACCAACAACCACACACAGTGGCTTCCAGTAGCTTGACGCTATCTGAACAAAACCTTGTATCTTCAAAATCGTATCTTTTCAAGAGATGGAAAAAATATTCTTAACTTTTGAAGGGCCCATATCCTACATTTTTCCTGTATTTATTATTTTCCCTTGAGGTTCATGTATAAAGTTTGTTTATGTGCCAAAAGTGGGTCTATATGCCAAAAACCTATTTCAATTTTACAATACCACTTTCCAAACTCTCTTTATCTCTTTGAATTAAACAGGCTATTTTGTTACTGTGACTGATATTTGTAAAAAAAAACTGTATTCTGATTGGTTACCCTATATTGGGCCTTGTTTAAAATACGTTCCAGGCTCATACCTTCAGTCTCATAACTTCAACATAACTAGGCACAGCTAAGCTGCTGTAGGCTGAATAGGCAAATATACTGTATGTAAAAGTGCTGTTTTCTGTGTCATCACAAAAGCAGTTAATTCAATATGGGGTTTGTTTTGCAACTTAGTTTATATATTATACAGTATATTTGACCGGGGAGTCTTTTATTTAAAAAAGAAACAGGAAAATTTGGTTTTTCATAATACAAGTCCTTTAATGTTAGCTCATATAACAAGATTTTGTTCCAAGACATTTTAAACAATTTCAAACAGTTGATGTATTCCTCATGCAGTCTTTACAAAAAAACTGGTAGCCGGTGTTTTCAAATAGGGTTACAAAACAACAACCAGTTGTTGATGGCAGCAAATTGCAGCTCTGTTCCAGTATCTTATTACGTTATGATCTGTGGCTGAAAATAACTGCAAAAACTCATTCTTGTTCTGTCAATGAAGAATGAAGAACAATAGACTTCTCAAACAGGACTGAGCACATTTTGCTATCTAATCAAACAGGAGACATGAATATTATTAACATTTAATGTCCTTTTGTATTTACAGCAAATAGTGTGTCTTCTGTTCTAACGATGCAAAAGCTCTGCTTGTTTTACTGTGTTAATTTGGGAGAAAGATCAATCTGGATACAGTAGCTGGAAATGCTCCCCTAGACTGGGGGTGGGGGGTGTAAGGAGGGGCTACTTTGATTGCTTCTGGAACAGTGTTTGCTTTCTCCTCTCCTCTTAACAGCTCTCTCTGCCTCAGACAACATATACTCTCACTGCAGCAAACAATCATGCTTACTTTCCATCAAATTAAATATTTAAAGGACGCATCACAGAATTGTTGTGTGAGGAGGGAGGGCCTCTGAGATGCTATGGGTAGTCCTGGGAGTGTGTGGGTTGTCACAGTAAGCTGGGTAGGGGCAGGCCAGAGAGGGGCTAGGCTGGTGGGGGTTAGCGAGGGGCCAGAGACAGTCGTGTTCCGTTGCCCTCTCTTATGTCAGGACATTATCAGAGGCTCAAGCTGTATTGATCTGGACAGAGCAGGTCAGGTTACATGCGACCCTGTTCCTGAGCACGTGGCTACAGATGGGGCAGCTCAAGAAGCTGAGTTTATGTGTGTGTATGTGAATGTGAAGAGAGATAGAGAGGCCCTATAGCCTGTAATGTGTACGATTCAGAAGGTCAGATGCCCTCGGTGGCCGTGCTGGCTGCATCACCCCCTGCGCAGGAGCCCAGCCCCAGCCCTGATTATCTAACCAAAAGCCCAAATAATGAGGCCCTGCAAATACAGCCTAATTGAAAGGGCTGTAAATCCATTACATATTGGTCAGGGATAATCAGGAGCGGTTTAATCACTTTTCTCTATTCAGAAGCACTGAAGCTGCAACAGCAGAGCCCTGAACCTTGCCATGTGCTTATTATTCCCATCATTATCAAAATGACTTCACAGCTGTTCACAGCTACATCTCCTCTGCTGGAGATTTCAGCAAATCTGCAAAACATTTTTTTCTCATTTGAGAACAAGTATTGGGGAGAGACAACATCACAGGGATTTTCTTTTCTCTCATATTTTTCCTTACTCCCTCTCAGCTTCAAGTTGGTTAAGGACTGGGAAGAAAAATCTTGAATTTAGAGGCCTCCTCTGAGCCACCTACCACAGTGTATTTTTTTTTTACACACACGCCTCCTGGTTAATTTACTTGGCTCACACCAAGCAGAAATTTCTTGCTTTATTGAGGGATCATTAGGCGTCTTTCCTGGCGACTCAAGGAATGCCTATTGTAGGCTTCTCTCAGTTCTAGCGCTTGCACTGCAAAAGAGGAGGGTGAAGAGAACTGTACAGCCTTTTCCACCAATTTTCTTTAGAATTGTTTTAAAATAGCAATGAAAGAGAAGAGAGAGAGAGAGAGAGCGAGAGAGAGAGAGTGAGAGAGAGAGAGAGAGTGAGAGAGAAAGAAATGAAAGAAAGGGAGAGAAAGAATAAAGCCCGATAGATTAAGCCTAGGAGTAGATTTTTTTTAATTCATGGAAGTGCAGCTTTCAAGACCCCATTTTCCCCTTCTTTTGGTAGCTCTCCTGCTCTTTACATGTTTTCTTCTACTTTTATTGGACTCTTTTGTGAAAACCCCTGGTTGGACTTGTACAAGCAATAATCCGTCCCTTTTAACCCACCTTTATAGTTTTTTGTGCAAAAAGGGGGCCTAATTGAATTATCCTCTACTACTAACTGCAGACCCCTATACAATACCTTACTGTGTCACACACACACACACACACACACACACACACACCACATACACATACCACACACTAACACATCCAACTCTTTTACTTTAATTTGTTAAGCAAATGTATTTCCCATTTCAGGATGCATTTGTGCAAGAGAGAATTCTTGGGGACTTTGGCCCCTGAATGGCCTATTGGGGCATTCTGGCATTCAGGCATTCATTAGAGAGGGCAGAATGAAAGGAGCGGGGTTGTATTTTCTCAAATGCTTGGGCCAGCATGGAGCTACTCTTCCATGAGCTCCAGGGGTCTCTCTACATATGTTCTCAACATCCAGCCATTGTCACCTATTCTGAAAAGCTCAAAAGGACAGCCCCCCTCCGCCCTTGCACGGAAAAACAACACAGGCCAACAGTAACAATTGTTGGCTTTTGGATTCAGTATAACAAAATCGATGGCCCTCCCCTCTCCAGCCTCCCCTGCACACTTTGACCCCACACTTTCATGGGAGAAATCTCACTGAGCCTTTCTCCATTACCATTGTCTCTGGGTAAAAGGGCCGCTTCAATTGGCACCCACCAACAGCTCCCCAAGGGATGGGAAAGATGCCTGGGCTTTAGGAAAGGTCCCACAGCATCCTCTGCGATGAATGCAAGACCAAAGTGATGTGATGTTATTGTGTCTAATGCACCCTTATAACACGCAGTAGCACATGAGTAGGCTTTTTTAGGGCCTCTGTGTAGGGCAGTTTGGAGCAGAGATCAGCTGGAGGAAACTGGCACTGTAGGCCCCAAGACGGTTTCTCTTTCCTTCTAGCTTTCCTGGATGTCTTCCAGTGCCATTAGGAAGAGGGAAATCCCAGCCTGTTGCCATAAGCTCTCCCATACTGCAGGGAGATTATGTTATCAGAAAGGTAAACTTTTCAGCAGGACGAGTTCCTCTAGGTTCTGCTAGGTGCTACATGATATACGAAGAGAAAGGGGAAAAAAAGTAAGACGGACAGAAAATGTACTAGAAAGAGCAATAATTAAAGGATGGAGTAAAGGAAAAGAATTTGTGCCCTGATGGCACAGGGGGTCCCTAGTATATATTAGAGGACTACTCTGAATTTTCTGAATTAGCCTGTTGGTACCCCCCCATCCTCCCTCCTCCCGAGCAGTCCTCGCGCCCCTGCAAAGACAAGGGTCGGCCCAGCAATGAAAACAGGAAGCACTCAGATACAAAGATACCACTCCAGGCCTGGCCTGTCTTTTCACTAACGTAAACCTTCAAACACCAGTGAAAATAAATAGGCCCTTTGAGCAGGCCAGGCCCAGTGCTGAGTGGATTTGTACAAGAGGCTGGAGTTGGTCAGATCGAGGAAAGGTAGCATGCTCTCTCTCTCTCACTCTCGCTCTCTCTGAGATCAAGCCTCTCAGGTTCTATGCCAGGCTGCCTCCTGGCCAGCCTGTTTAGGAAGTGCTGCTAAGCTGCAAAGCCAGGTGTATTGCTCCCCTGGGCTCACTGAAAAAGGAGTGATAGATCCCATGACCATTTTGAAGGTCTATGGGAGACCCTTATAACAAATTAACATGACCTTATATGGGCTAGTGTTATAAGGTTCATTTTCAGGCTGTAACTTACATCTTATGATGTGGCAGTTCATAGCAGGCACAGATCATCAGTGCTGAAAGGCTGTTCGAGAATGAATTATTGAACAGCACTTAGCACGCATTTCACAAAGCATGAAGTGTTTGTAATTAGATGTGGCTTTTTGATTAAAATAGGCTCACCCAAACATGTAAGATGCCTTTAGCAGCAGCTGTGGCGGCAGTGATCTGAGAGCGTGATGGGAGGAGATGCCTGATTTTCATCTCTAGCAGCGCTAGCTGATCCACAATCAGCCTCAAAAGAGACAGGACAGCAGCATTCACTGCCCCCTAAGGGACATTAATTGCCATGGTAACCCAGTGTCACCTCCAGGTCACTCCCTTGGAGACATGTTTTAAAAAGGCCTTTGAAAATTAACAGATAAACAA